AAGAAGTGGGCTGTAGTCCACGAAAGCTTATGCTCTAATAAATTTTATTCTCTAAGGTGCCACAAGTACTCTTTTGCTTCTTTTTGCGGATACAGACTAACACGGCTGCTACTCTGAAACCTGTCAAATTCATAAGCAACTCAAACTTTTAACATAGCTGTGTCTGCCTTAATTTGGAATTTTCAACCTGAAAATTCTTTTGTTAGTGAAAGTTTTGTTGAACTAGGACACTAACTGCAACCATCAACTAAAATTTAGCTTACAAAGAATCTACATTTGTTTATCTCACAATCTGAGTGTTATTTATTTACTATAATTACTTTCAGGCTGTTCTGACACTTGAGAATTGTTTTATAAAGCAACATACTCAGTAGGCAGCAATGTACAGTTATGGGATCATGTGCTTTATAAGGCTAAGGCCTACTCTACTATTAAAAGTTTTGCCAGTATAGCTGCACCAGCAGCTTCTGCCAGGATAGCTTATCCCATTTAGGAAAGCAAAAGAAGCTATACCAGCAAAAGCGCTTTTAGACTAGAGCTTTTGCCAGCATAGAAATTTTGCAGACAAATCACACCTCAGCTGACACTGCTCTGCCTGCAAATGTTTCTAGTGTAGATCTGGCCTAATACAGATATCAATCTGTAATTAAAAAATAATGCATCATGAACTACACTACATAAATTGCAGGAGTAATTTGGGAAAAAATAGCATTAGATTATATACATTTAATAATTTTCATGGGGAATGTAGAAAAAAAGGTAAAGCTAACTATAAGATGAATGTAAGCAGTCAACTACAGTTCAACATAGGTCTGCTTGAATCCCATGTTGATAAGGCAAGTAATTTAATTTTATGATGTCCAAAATCAACTACAACACAATTACTCTTTAATTTTAACTAGAAATATTTAAGTAATGTTGGTCAGAGGTCTTCAAAACAAATTCTCGTCTATCACTGATTCACATATAAGGACTGAATTTTTTATATTGAGGCAAGGAGTATATTTTACTTCCCAGGATAGCAGCTATTCTACTGTTTAGACTTTGAAAAGGTAAAATCTGTTTCTCGTGAAAAGACACTTCCTGAAAGCTTCATCAAGTCTAAATTTGAGGTAATGGTACACGTTACTTCAAAGATCTATTTTGCCCTACAAAATAAACAAGCTGTGTAAGGCTTTAATTAGTTCATAAAAGATGATGAAGTCAAATTTTCACTATAGTGCTAGCAAATACAGCTAAGAGACTCCTTCTGTCAATATTCATCTATTAAGAAAGGAAAAAGCAAACTTTATGGCATGACAGTCTTTATGGCATGACAGTTATTTTAGTATGTGGACAAGTGGTTTTTAATGTGGATGAGACTGCAGATGTATGAAGCAAAAAAAGACTCATACATCTTTTCTGCTAGAAGAGATGGAGATCACATACAAGATTGGTAAGTAGTCAGGTACCTGTTACCCTGATGGTTGCTCCTGCTTGTGAAAGAAGAAAAAGACATCAAAGGAAAAAATTAGAGGAAAAATCCAAGGTACCTCACCAACCTCAATAATCCTCATTATCCAAAATGTTTTAAATACTATATTACGTGTGAAGAAAAATATGTCTGATGTTCTGTATACAACAGATACAAGATGAGAATTATCAGTGGACTTAATACCCTTAATATTAAAATTTTGTTGAAGTAGAACTTCAACTGGAGCATAAGATTTTATAAATTTGATCATGAAGGCTCAACAACATATTATCACATGCTATGGAGCAGTCTATGATTATTTTAAAAGACTTTTTCCAAGCACTTAGTCCACGTAGTTCATTTTGCAAGAGAGGGCCTATAGCATTTAAATCTCACATTCTATCAGAAAATGTCATTTTACATTTAAAATGATCAGTTTTACCTTAGTTCTAAAGGTACTTTTTTATATTGCAACATTTTCATTACCCCTATAATTATAGAACCCATGCAATTCATATTTTTACAGTAGTTTATTTTATAAAGACAACAGGAGTTTTAAGGTTTTCAAATGCTCAAAAATTCAGTAATCTTTAATCAGAGAGTGGGTGAGGTTTTTACCCACAAAAGCTTATGCCCAAATAAATCTGTTAGTCTTTAAGGTGCCACCAGACTCCTTGTTGTTTTTGTAGATACAGACTAACACGGCTACCCCCTGATACTTTCAAAAGGCTTGAACTTCAACTTAATATTTTCAATCCAAAACTCCTTTCAGAAAACTATATGTTGATAAATAAAGGGGATAGCCATGGTTTCCATTCTATAATTAAATTCTACAAAGAGAAGAAAAATGAAAGATGAGAACAATAACTTAAGATCGAAATAGACATCTGAATTTTCCCTTGTGATTAATACAGATAAAACTTTAGAATAAGATTTGGTAAGGACATTCACTGCACATATTTCACAAAGAATATCAAGTTTTAAACTACATCAGAAAAGTTAAAAATATGGCTTTTGAAAATGATGTTTCAGAATCAATATTTAATCAGAACATTTAATACATTCTGCAGTACTTCTTGTGGCAGCAGCTCAGGTGCCTCTATCACAATTTCATATCTACTTCTGAATACAGAACTGCAGAAGCTCTGATGTTCTGAGATTTGTTTAACCATTTAAGTATATTTGTAGTCTATACATGTTGTGAAATGGAGATAAACTGTCATAACTACTATGCAAAAAAAAAAAAAACACCTTCCGAAGTGTGATAATCAAGTTTTGGTTATTTTTAAAACTATTTTTTTGTTATAAGTTTCCATCAGAAAAAAAAAATTAGCAGCCAAAGGTGCACAATGCAGGGAGTGATTCAGAGGCAGGGAGACATGCAGGAGAAGGAAGAGGAAAGGTGGTATTTATAGGCTTTCAAGTACAATTTAAAATCTTTAACCCATCAAAGACCCATGCAGCCCCCATCTAAAGCATGAATAGGGATCAATTTAAGCACATGCTTAAGTGCTTTTAAAGTTGACACAATCTTTGATGTGAAAAGAATATCTAGAATGTTGGCATAAATGTAAAGGATCAATTTCTTGTTCCATAGAAAATTTCTTCTAAAAAAATGTTTCAATGCCTATTTGTTGATTTTCAGTCCAAGTAAACAGTCCAGTACCTGAGAATTACTGTACATTTAAGAGACCAAATTCACTGCTGGTGTAAGTGGACACAAGTACACTGATACCTTTAAGGCAGTGGAAAATTTGGTTCAATATCTGGTTACCAGGAAGCGAAGTCCCTAATTGCTAACATTGATCTTTAGTATGTTATAGCTTAGGGAAGAATTTCAGCCTTTTGTGCATACACAATGTACTGCAAATGTGCTTTTAATTTTTGTGTGTGTAAGAAATGTCTAAAAAGAGAAGGTTACTCACCTTGTGCAGTGACTGAGGTTCTTCGAAATGGCTGTCCCTCTGGGTGCTCCACTTTAGGTGTCTTGGCGCCCTGTGCTTCTAGTCGAAGACTTTGGGTTGGCTGACTCACGCCGCCCTGAGTGGCTACCCCAGGCGTGCAGCCAACCGCCACCCAGTTCCTCCTCTACCCCCAGAGGATCGAGTTGAAACTCTGAAGCAGAGGGGAGGAGGATGGGTAGTGGAGCACCCACAGGGACAACCATCTTGAAGAACCTCAGTTACTGCACAAGGTGAGTAACCTTCTCTTCTTCTTCAAATAGTGTCCCTGTGGGTGCTCCACTTTAGGTGACTGAAGAGCAATGCCCCTTGGTGGAGAGGAGGGGCTTCAGAGTTGATTTATGTATGGTGGAGAGCACTACAGACTGAAGTGAGCATCTGCAGCTAACTGCTGTTCCAAGGCATAACGTTTGGTGAAAGTATGGGGCGATGCCCAGGTAGCTGCTTTACAAATATCAGTGATGGATACATGTTTGAGAAAGGCTATGAATGTGGACATAGCTCTAGTGGAGTGTGTGCGAAGTCCAGAAGGAGCTTGCAAATTGTAATTTTGGTAACATAGCTTGATACAATTGGAGATCCATTTAGAAAGTCTCTTGTTTGGAAATGGTTTGGCCTCTTGATCGTTCTGTTGTGGATACAAATATAGCCTGGACGATTTTCTGAATGTTTTTGTTCTCTCTACATAGAGCACAAGCACACTGTGGATGTCTGGCATGTGAAGGGATGCCTCCATGTTGTAGGCGTGTGGCTTGGGGAAGAATACAGGTAAGTAAATGGGTTCATTGAGATGGAAGAGGGAGACAACCTTGGGTATGAATTTAGGTGTGGGCGTAGGATTACTTTGTCCTTGTGGAATGTGGTATAAGGTGGGTGAGCCATTAGGGCACCCAACTCTCCCACCCTTCGTGCTGACATGATAGCTACTAAGAAGGCAAACTTCGTGTATAAGTGTAGGAACAAAAAGGTCGCTAGTGGTTCAAAGGGTTTGCCCATGAGGGCATGGAGAACCAGGTCAAGGTCCCACACAGGGGTCAGGTCCCTTAATGTGGGATGAGTGTTCTCAATACCTTTGAGAAAATGCTTAGTCAGTGGATGGGTGAAGACCATGAGTCTGTCCACCTTGTCGTGAAAGGTGGTGATGGCTGATAAGTGCACTTTCAGTGAGCTAGTCGAGAGGTCTGATTTTTTGAGTGTCAATATGTACTCGAGGATAGTGGGTAACGGGGCCAATTGTGGAATGATCTGCTTATCTCAGCACCAAATGGAGAATCTTTGCCACTTGTGTGCGTATGTTTTTCGTGTGAAGAGACGTCGGCTGTTAAGTAGAATGTCTTGGACCTCCTTGGAGCAGCATGTTTCAAGTTCTGTCATCCCTGGATTAGCCATGCTTTAAGACAAAGTGTTGGAATGTTGGGGTGACTGAGGTGTCCTGCATCCTGTGTCAGTAGGTGAGGCAGGAGGGGAAGGGTTCATGATCTGACATACATCTGGGTCAGGTATGAGAAACATGTTTGTCTGGGCCATGTTGGTGTAATCAAGATGACCCTGGCTTTGTCTTGTCTGATCTTGTGTAGGGCATGACTCAACAGGGGGATCGGGGAGAAGGCATACAGGAGTGGGACCTCCCATTTGATGAGGAAGGCATCTCCAAGAGATGTGTGTCCCGGTCCCACTCGGGAGCAGTATTGTGGGCATTTGGCATTGTGGGTTGTGGCGAAGAGGTCTAATGAGGGGAATCCCCATTGTCAGAATATAGTTCGCAGAGTTTGTGGGTCAAGTTCCCACTCGTGCATCTGTGAGACGTTCCTGCTGAGGTCATCTGCTGTGGCATTCTGGTTTCCAGGTAGTTAGGATGCCGTGATGTCTACGTTGTTGGAAATGCACCATTGCCAGAGGTGGACTGCTTCTGTGCAGAGCAGGTAAGATAGGGCTCCTCCTCGACGATATATATAAAACATAATCGCCAAGTTGTCCGTGAGAATCAGTTTAATTGTGGATCAGGGGGAGAAAGCGATGTCAGGCGTTTCAAACTGCTTGGAGCTCCTGTAGGGACCATTGGCCCTGGATGGTATTGTTGGCCAAGTGTGCCCCCCATCCTACCAGAGAGGCGTCCGTGGTGATAGTGACTGATGGGGTTTCCCTTTCGAAGGGAACACCTGAGTGGACGTTTGCTTTGTCCACCATGTCAGTAAGTCTTGCACTCTGCTGGGCATTGTAAGCCATCTGTTGATCGAGTGTCTGTGACGCTATACAGTGCATAGCCAGGTTTGTAGACATCTCATATGCAGCCTGGCATGTTTCACGACAAATGTCGTAGCCGACATGTGTCCTAGAAGTTGTAGGCATGTTCTGGCAGACGTTTGTGGACTGTGTCTTACTGTTGTGATTAGGTTTGTTAAGGCAAGAAACCGTTGTTGGGGTAGCCGTGCTGATGTCATGACACAGTTGAGGTGTGCCCCTATAAAATCCAGTTGTTAGACTGGGGTCAGGGTGGATTTCTGTAGGCTGATTTGTAACCCTGGGTTTGTAAATAGGGTTAGAGTGGCGTGAACTGCCTTGTTGTATATATCGGTGCTTTTAACAAGCAGTTGTCTAGATAGGAGAATATGGTCACACCCTGCTTGCAAAGATGTGCTGCTGCCACAGCCTGTACTTTGGAAAAAACCTTTGGAGTCGTAGAGAGGCCGAAGGGAAGTACTTTGTATTGATAGTGTAGGTTGCCATGAGTGAATTGTAAGAATCTCCTGTGCGCTGGGTGGATATTGACGTGAAAATAAGCATCCTGTAGGTTGAGGGCTGAGAGCCAATCTCCTTTCTCCAATGCCGGAATTATGGTTGCTAGGGTTACCATTTTGAAGAACTGTGTTCTCACAAACTTGTTCAGTTTGCGGAGGACCAGAATGGGCCTCCATCCACCTGTTTTCTTCGGAGTGATAAAGTAATGCGAGTAGAACCCCTAACCCCTGTGCTGAATCGGTACTGGTTCCACAGCACCTAATTGTAGGAGATGGTGTAGTTCCTGCTGTAACAGGTGCTCGTGAGATGGGTCCCTGAAGAGGGACGGAGAAGGTGGTGGGTAGGCAGAATGGAAAGAAAGGGGATGGAATAGCCCTTCTGTATAATCTCCAGGACCCACTTGTCTGCAGTGATGGTTCTCCAGACTGGGTAAAAAAGAGTGTAAGGCGGTCCCCAAATGGGCTGGAAATTAGAGGTGACTCTGGGATTGGAGAATGTGGGGCTCGTGTGTCCTCAACCAAACACTTAAAAATGTTTGCCTAGAAGTGGATGGCTGAGATGTAGACGACTGGTCCTGCATTTGACGGCGTGTTGTCTGGAGCTGCTTGGGGAGTTGATCATAATGTCGTTGAAGCTGAGCGTGTGTATGGGGAAGGACGGAATCGTTGGTTGTAGAATCTGCCCTGTTTCTTTTTGTTTGCAGGGATATAGATACCAAGCATCTTTAATGTTGCACGGGAGTCCTTCAGGGTGTGTAAGGAGACGTCTGTGCTCTCTGCAAACAATTTTTGCACCTCAAAAGGTAAGTCCTCTACTGTCGTCTGGACCTCTCTGGGGAAGCCAGAGAGATGGAGCCATGAAGCCCTCCACATGACAACGGATGTGGCAATTGAGTGAGCCGCCGTGTCAGCAGAATCCAGAGAAGCCTGCAGGGCAGTTCTGGCGATGAGGACGCCTTCTGCTATATTGGCTTTATATTGTTCTTTTTTGTCAGGTGGGATGTGTTCAATAAAAGTTGACACCTGAGAAAAAAAATGTTTCATGTGTACTTGGCCAGTAATGCAGAGTAGTTTGCTATGCGAAACTGGAAGGTCGCCAATGAATAGGCTTTCTTGCCGAAGAGGTCTAGGCATTTCCAATTTTTATCATAGGGGGTGGGTTTGGTTTGATGTTGCCTCCTTTGATTAACTGCCTCTACCACCAATGAGTTTGGAGTAGGGTTGGTAAAGAAGAACTCCGCTCCTTTAGCCGGCATGTAGTACTTCTTGTCAGATCGCTTACAAGAAGGTGGGGCCGTGGCTGAAGTCTGCCTATGGTTTTTGCTGCATCCATGATGGCAGCATTAATGGGCAGTGCTATCTTGGCTGACGGAGAAGCTTACAATATATCTGTCAGCTTGTGTTGAGTCTCTGGTAACTCAGCCAGTGGGATGTCTAATGAATCTGCTACTTTTTTAAACAAATCATGAAAAGATTTAAAGTCATCTCCCAATGTGGGGGGAGGTGGCATTATTGTGTCATCCGGAGACGAAGTCAGGATGTGAGTAGGTGAGAGGATGTCACCCTCCAGCCTGTCTGCAGATTCTTCAGCTTACTCCTCCAGCAGTTCTGGGGAAGCCCGAGGAGATGGTGGAGGCAATTGCTGTGTCCTGGATCTGGATGGATTAGATGGCTGGGTTTTCTGGGCTCTGTATAATGCTCAGGAGTCCCAGTATGCCCACTGCGGCAGGAAGGCCATGGGAGGGGGCCCACCATTGTGAGGTTGCCAACACACGCCCTGTTGCTGAGCGGGTTTAGGAGAGGGGTGGTGAGATATGCCCACTCCTGTCTCCACTTCCTCCTCTTCATCACTGGAGAGAGGAGGGACCGAGCCAGCAGGTGTATTGATAACGCTTGGCCCTGACCTGGCCGGGGTGCCATCGGTGCCAAAGAGTGGAGTTCCCAGGGTGGAAGCAATGAGGAGGTCCGCATGGCTGACAAACTGCTGCAGTACCGGGATACTCGATGCCGGCAGTGCAGGCAAGCTCAGGCTGGGAGGAACCAGTGTTGTCGGTGCCGCAGACCTGTTGCTATAAGGCTGCGTTTTGCTGCTGTGAGAGAGAGATTGCACAGGGTCTTTCACTTCTTGGTACTGGACGGTCCAGGTGCCTTGTGGCCTGGTGCTCTGGGTGCCGTTGGTACTGCCGCAGTTTTTGTGGTCGGGGATGCCTTTCTTTTTAGGCGAATCTCAGTCTGGCGAGGAGTGAGACCGCTTGTTTGTGGCTTTGCTAGGACCAGGGTCCTTAGCAGCCATTTTTGAAGAGGACCCCATATCTGAGGCAGGTTGCAGGGATCTCTCCATCATTCAAAGTTTTAATTGGAAGTCCTTGGCCTTTCTTGTCTGTGCTGTGAGTTTCTTGCAGTGGGGACACTTCTGAGTAACGTGTCTCCCCCCTGGGCAACGGACACACTGTGAGTGGCTGTCTGTCACTGGTATTGAGAGTCTGCAGGTCAGACAGTGCTTGAAACCTGGCGAGCCAGGCACGTCCGAGACTAGCTGAATAAAGAATAGGAATAGTCCCAGTCTAATGCCTCTTCAGGGACTATCCGCCTGAGGCAGGGAGAAAAAAAGGACAGTTTTTTGTTTTTGTTTTTAAATGGGAAACGAAAGAAAAATGAAGGGAGATTAGCAATGAGGGAATTTAAACTGAGAAAACGGCAGAGAATAAAGGAATATGAAAGTAGATAAGGGCGCTGCTGTCGTTCCAACCGAAATTAAGGGTGGTAGAGAAGGAACTGGGTGGCGGTTGCCTGCGTGCCTGGGGTAGCCGTTTGGAGTGGCACAAGACGCCTGTCGCGTGTGCGCAGCCAACCAGTGCACTGCTACCAAAAGTCTCCAACAAGAAGCGCAGGGCGCCAAGACACCTAAAGTGGAGCACCCACAGGGACACTCCTGGAAGAACTATTGCTTTTCTTAAACAAAGGGTTTGTTTTTAAATAAATATTTTAGCTAGTACACAGAACAGAGCATTCAATGTTACTGAATTAAAATGTCAAATTATTTTGGAGTATTGTATATTTTAATGAACACCAGGAAATAAACAGAATAAATTTACTTTAGTTAAAAGTAGGACTCAGCATTCCAACCTTGAAATGAATTAGCTCCAGTACGAAGCTCCAAGTATTTCTGTGCAAGATTTAAATAGATACTTTTTCTTAAGAGATCTCTCTTAAGTTGCCCAGTCTGTAAATTATGGATTTGTGTTATTGTGAAATGTATTCAATTTTAGAATACACATTTTTCATATAAGGGTATAAGATTATAATTCTATTGTTACATGACACGATGTAAGAACACGTACACCTCTACCCCGATACAACACGACCCGATATAACACGAATTTGGATATAACGCGGTAAAGCAGCGCTCCGGGGGGGCGGGGCTGCACACTCCAGTGGATCAAAGCAAGTTCGATATAACGCGGTTTCACCTATAACGCGGTAAGATTTTTTGGCTCCCGAGGATAGCGTTATAGCGAGGTAGAGGTGTAATTTATATTTTAGGTAACTGTATCAAAATTAAAAATTCTCAAGAAATTAAAAAAATTATATTCAGGGTTTAAATCTTCAGTCTACAAGGACAATATAGAATCACCTAAGGTTATCTTACTGCCATGTTGTTATCCTTTTGTGCTTAAATATCCTAAGTTTAATCATTAATGGTACTTTTTTTGTTCTGGGGCTTTCCCGTGATCTGTGATGTTAAGGCACGGTAGGCTGTGTTAAGGCACAACACTAAAAGATTCAGTTGTACACTTACTTGCTGTTGTGAAGGAACCGATTCTGAAGGCAAGCTGTGGGATGACCTGCTCCGGGGAGGCGGTTGCGGTGGTGCTTCCAGATTCTGTGGAGGAGTTGTCTGAGAGGTATGCATCATCATAGGTATAAGAGGCTCTTGCATTTTTTGAACAGATGGTGGCTGAATGGTGGGTTGAAGAGGAACTACGGCCTGAGGTTTTAGTGGTTCAGGAAGCAATGGCGACCCTACAAATACATTTACAATGCATTTTATTATAAATATATTCTGGATGTTTCTCCATAAAAATGATTAATAAAATAAGTATCTAGGTAATTAAGGTCAAACATAAAATATATTTTGAAAATCACTGTTGTACAGATGCATATGCTGAACAATACATATTTATGACAGTTTTATCAGTCAGTTTAGGATGGAAGCTGAAGGTGGTCCCTTTGAAAGTCAATTGGTCGTGTGCTCCTAAATCACCTAGGTGATTTGAAAATCCGAAGAGAACACTAGCAATGCAGCCATCATGAGCACCAGGCCACCACAACACACAATTTGTTACATATTCCTCTTGGCACATTAAAAGTTACTTGTGAAATACAACTAACGCAGGAGGTAGTACTTTGTCCAGGGCAAAATGAGGGAGCCCACTCCTGTATTTTCCACTCCATGCATCAGATGAAGTGGGTTCTAGCTCACAAAAGCTTATGCCCAGATAAATTTGTTAGTCTCTAAGGTGCCACAAGGATTCCTCATTGTTTTTGCTGATACAGACTAACACGGCTACCACTCCTAAAAAGACGGTTACTCACCGTTGTAACTGTTGTTCTTCGAGATGTGTTGCTCATATCCATTCCATTAGG